ACGAGTAACCAGAGGGTAACATTTTCATCGACGCAAAGTCCCAATGGAGACAAGTGCTGGACTTCAGAAAGGGTTAACCCATAAACATCTGTTGTATGATTTTAGATTCAAATGATTTGCCATGTACTGCTAATTTATTCTCCTTCGTTTACATTTAAAAACGAATTGCCAAAGCCAGAGCTAGTATTTCAGCCTAGTGCCAGTTCTTCATCATCTGTGGCTAATGTTGGTGGTGGTGGTGGTGGTGGTGTTTTATGTGCTCATGCTCCTCTTGCCCTCTGTAACTTGACATAAAGACTCCTTCAACGACAACAGTAAATTAATTAAAATTTTAGAATAGTAGTTTGATCAAATCTCTTGAAGCCTTAAACGTTTGATATGTATACCTAAACTAACCAGTTATCTTAACAGGTGATTATCAAGTTACCAGATAACAATCCGAATTCATTAACATGTCAATCCAAAACCTATTAATTTCATGTTGTTTCATGTCAGGTTGAAGAAATTATCAAACCTACTTAGATTACAAGGAATTCCGTATACTTGAGGAGACCATGTATCGATTATATAGGAAGTTGAGAATCTATCAAGATGTTCGAGTACCAATTTTTACCAGCCCAAACTAGCATATTATGCCATTATCCCGTCAGCTGAAAAGAGGATTGTGCTCTGTAGAAGTTGAACGAAAACAAAAATGCATTTTTGAGTAAAAGAAAATCAATTTAAAAAATTAAATTATGTACACGTCAAAATTTGAGCTACCCATATTGTGTCTAATGCATGCCATGCCACGATACGATGCCTTCAAAACCACGCTGCATCACTCTGTGTCATGGTGCAAGGTTTCATATAGTAATTTGAGCATGCATACGTTTCTAGGTTTTCTCCAATGCGGGATAGTAGCTGGATGTGAGTATTTGGTTGATCAGAATTACACAACTAACCAACCGGCCACTCACATCCTGCAAGTATCCCATAATGATTTGTCCCGCACTGGAGAAACTGTGTGTACGACCACTACTACTGCTACTACAATAGCAGCAAAAGCAGCATATGAGCTAAAGTTGGTGCAGAGAAGAATCTCCCATCTCCAGCTCTCTTGGGTGGCTTAGAAATATAAACTTCAAGCTCGCTGAAAGAAGTCAAAAGCACTTGTTCAAAAGTGCTTATAAGATGAGCGTTATAAGTAGCCTCCCAGGAGTTAAAAGAGTTGGGTCAACGGGTTGAACAGACAGCTAAGCAGAAACTCCCCTCCCATGAAACTGCCACTGATGTGAAAAAAATGGTTGAAACCAGAATATTGGGTTTTGGCTCCTTGCGGAACTCCCCAGGGAAGCCACATGCTGCAACCCCCAGAATTGCAACAAATTTACAGGAACTTGCTGCGCTCGAAGACAAAATTTCGTAACCAACTTTTCGTAACCTCCCCACACTAAGCACTACTAAATGTGAGAGCAGTCAGTTTAAGTGTGAACAATCTCCAAAATACAAAGTTCAGGTTTTGATAGTTGGTTCAGAGACTCTCACAGGGATGGGGTGCTTGCCCTTTCCTCCGAGGACGGGGTGCAAGGTTCGGGCTTCAAGGGGTAGAGTCTTGAAGGGGAAGCGAGCAAGGCTATACATAATCCAGCGCTGCATCTTGATGCTGATTTGCTGGAGAGAAGAAGATAAGTAGTGATTAGATTATTGGACTGAGAAAATATTGATCAATGTGTTTCATTAGTTGCATCTGAACTATCTGCAAATAAGTAATGTAGATGATGAGCTGAATGAAAAATATTTCCTACCTTGGTTCTGCATATCCAAACTGCTTTCGTTAATATTCCCCCGTTTTTCTTTCGATGATTTTTTGTGAATCGTTCTTTCTAGCCACTGTGCTGGTTAAGCAATCAATCCAAACCAAACGTGCCATTTTATGATGCAGCATCTTATTTTCAAACAGACAATAAAATCATACCTCTGAAAGCACCAAATTTGCGGCGAACACTCAGCACATAGGACTTCTGGTACTCCTGAGATTTGAATCCCTTCCTCTTTGGTTATGTTTTGAATGCTCATGCTTGAAGAGGGATTCGTTGTTCAACGATGTTTGATTTCACCAGTAAAGGGAACACAATAAATTCATACCATATCTGGTAAAAAAGTCATTTGCATACAAAGGTGAAAATCGAAGACTTATTCATAGTGATGTGCAATACTCAGATCAAATACTAGACTCTGTCTGTGGTATCTTTCACAAAGACTGAGATGTGGCTCTTAAGGAAAGAAAGACAAACTTTAATACGCTTTAACAACTATTGTCGCACATAGCGCCGAAGATCTTGCATTAACAGAAAGGTGAAGACCGTTGATGCAACATCTTATAGTTACGGAAACAGACACCATATCAGACCGTTAGCTCTAACTCGACAACGAATTTTGTCGTATGTTGCGACATAGACACGATCGCAATCATTAATCCAGCTAAAAGCTCTGAGTTTCGATAGACAATACGCATAAAAGAAAGGGAGAAAGAAGGAATTAAAGAACCCTAGTCAGCCAATTTTCTGTCTGCGAAGTCGCAAACTCAGCAACATGGCAAAGTACTTTCTTTCTCATCTTCTGGTCTCTAATTGCTCGCAAATGATCTATGGTCCCCAAAATGAACAACAACAACACACAAAAAGGCACACTAGTTCAATAAAATGAGAGCATCGTCCAAAATCTGAAAGGAAAGTCATCCATGGAAAGTTTGGCTCGTGATGCAAATTCCTGGTTCAAATGACCGGAAACATAAGAACAAACCAATACAAACGCCAAAACGTTCCACATTTTCCAACCTAAACAATATAACACTTTGATAAACTAAGATGTAACCACCCATTACGCATATGAATTCAGGAACAAGTAAAACATCAAGCTCGAATCTCTAATAGTCCGTAAAATATCGAATAAAATCCACCGACTGATGTGTGGGAGTGAGGACTTACCCACATATTTTTCAAGCTAAAGTGTCATAAGCTAGTCTGACCAAACTATAACGTTACATAGAAAAACCATAACTGATGTTAGCATGAGAGAGAGAGAGAGAGAGAGAGAGAGAGAGAGAGAGAGAACATATGTAGACCTACAATTCCGATGCTATCATTCAATTGTTTTCTTTCCATAAATAAAATTAAATCCATTTTTATTTTTATTTCTCAGAAGGAAATGCTACCATCCAAGCTAAAACTGCTGCTTCCAGAGCACTCTAGATGCATACAGTGATTGTACCTTACGCATGTAAAAGGTTGTACCTTGACACGGAAGCAACAACGTCAGCTCTGGAAATAGCATTTTCCCTTTCCCAAACTCATCAAAATTGAAATTTTACAAAAATTCCCAATTTCATACAAAATCCGAACAGAATTCCAATTCGTACAAGACACGGATTAAATTACACATAAAAAGCAAAACAAAGCATTGAAATTTCCTCTTCTAATATTCACCGTATGTGAGATCTGCTGCGAGTGAGTAGCTGTATTAAGCTGAAACGCCGTCGCTGAGGCGGTGGTGGGTGGCGGCGGCAGGGGGCTTGATGGGCTGATCGGGGCCAGCGATGGCCTGGTCTTGGTGGGACCCGGCGGTGGGCCTGGAGGAGCAGGAGGAGGAGAGGAAAAGAGGACGGTCGTCGTTGGTGATGTTGTGATTGTCGTCGTCGAAATCGGCGGTGTTGAGATTGATGCAGGAGCAGCGTTCCAGTGAGGCGAAGAAGGCGGAGGCGACGTTGGTGCCCACACACGACAGCAAGGACATGCAGTTGGTCTCCATCGTTGGATCACGTTGATTGAGCGGTACAGATTGATCGAGTGCAGAGTCTCGGTGAAAGGGAGAGGAGCAGCTGAGCTGAGTTTTGGGGGAAGGAAGACAATGGAGTTTTTGGGAAATTGGAAGTTGGAATAAAGGGGTAATGGAAGTCTTCTTTTTCTTAATGCTACGTAGTGTGATTTGTCCGTTTCTTGTAAATTAATATTTGATTTTTCAATTAAAAGTAAATGGTTTTGATTCCGTTAATAAAATTATATTGCTGCCACTAGTATTACGGTCTAGTGGTATTCCTTCTCACTGATTAGTGAGAGATCTTAAGTTCAACTATCGCCAAATGCGACATCCTTTCCTTAGTGTAGATAATATCGATTTGCTCAAAAATAAAATAAAATAAAAATAAAAATTTATATTGCTTTAGTACGATGAGATAGTTGTATTTTTCTTTTTACATATAAATAAGAAATGTTTATATTTAATTCTTGTTAAATGTAGAATTTAGCTTATTTTTTTATTTTTTTATTATAGATAATATTATTTATTAAATTATTTGAAAAATATATATATAGTTTATTAAAAATAAAAAATTTATATTATATTTTGTTACCTTCATTAGGGCTGTTGTCAGCTGATTATTTTAAGTTTCCTATTTTTCTCCTGATCAGAAATAGATAGTTTCCCCAAATTTTGACCACGCCTTTGGCAAAGAACATGAAAAATTAGGATTAATTGTGATACTGTCCATTGAATTTCTCCCAAGTTTCACTTTTGGTCCTTCAATTTAGTTTTCAATTTCTATGTCTCACTTTAGTTATTTTATCAATTTTATTTTAGTACATTTAAACTGTTTGTATCACTCTTTAAATATGCATGCAAATGAAATAAAGAGTAACAAAACGATGTGCGACGTAATTGAAGAACCATGGAATTTAAAAACTGAATTCAACTACTAAAGTGAAACACAGATACAAATTCAAAGACAACTGAAATGATTAACCCAACATTGGTGATCACTAAAAACACAAATCAGAAGGGGCAAAGCTATGAAACCAAAAAGAAATAAAGCCAAAAAATGGATGAACCACTTTGATAGGTTCATAGCCAATCCATGGCACAACAAAATCTCAGAAACCACTTCCATGATGTCCAATTCAATCAAAAGTAGAATGGTAACTCGATCAGTTTAATCACCTGTTATGCACCTCCATGTAATCATGTGCCACTTCACTGTGGTCTTCTTATTCAGAAAGAAGCAGAGCGGGTAAGCCTTGGCTTGGTTATCTTCTTGTCCTCTTCAAGAGAGATGAGTGCAAGATTGGCCGGATTCTCGATCATCAACTTAGCAACCAGGTATCCGGAGATACTCCAAGTCTGGTACTTTCTTGCTTGCTTCCCAATGTACCTCCCTGTCTTGCCGTCATAGTACTCGGGCCACCCGTCTTTCGAGAGTCGCTGCTCCACCAGCTCGATTGCTTTCTTCGCCATCTGAGGCCTCCCGGTCTTGATGCAAGCTGCGGTAAGCAGCCACAGCAGCGCTGCAAGAGAGGATGACACATTAACAATTGTCAAGCCAAATTTGCATATTTGTTTTAGAGCAAACACACGTGTCAGCATTCGATGAGCTACACTAAGTTACTAACAAACATCAAATATCATGTCAAATGAAGAACGGATTAGACACGCTACATAGCTGAAGATTTTGATTGGAAAAGTGGCAGAAACTGGTAATTGAAAGGTTTCAGTTGAATTATACTAAGAACTGTATACGCTTTGAAAAGAAAAATGGAACTGCAAATTGTCACATTATGCAAATAGATACAAGAGTCACTTGATCAATACATAAAAAACAAGCAACGAACAAAAACAGCCCGACAGCTTATTCAACGATTTAAACGAAAATCTTCACTACTTCAATGGCTAAAATGAGGATTAGAGGTTCTAAAATGGACAAGCATAACAACTGCAGTAGCAATTAGCAAACATATAAGAGCCAATGCAAATAACACAACATTTGATTAAACTTGTATTTTCATCTCCATAAAACTTACTTGGCCAAGAACCACCATTGTGATAACTCCATCGTGTGTTTTTCGGATCAAATCCCGTGACAATTCTCCACTCATGTCCCTCCAATGCAGGGTAAATAATTTTCAGAGGCATCTCCCCGATCAAGTCCTCCCATCTCTCCTCAATCAAGTCCATAATTGCTGTAGCTTGCACAGGTGTTACCAGCGAGCTGAGGATGGCAATACAATTCCCAACTAAAAACCACCTGAAGTCCATCCTAGCTGGGCTAACATTGCCGATCAGATATCCTCCTCGCAAGGGCATAAAATCGAAAACCCAGTCAGGGATAGACTCTGGAATGACATTAAACTTATTGACGGCAGTATGGGAATATTCCTCAGTTTTGTAGCGGTACACATTGTTTAGCTGTGTAAAATCAAGCCAGTAATACGTCTGGATGTGAAAGCTGAGAGCTGAGATGCGCTTATCTATCCGCTCAAGGAATTCCTTGCCACCACGTTCTGGATTCAACAGCTGCCGGGCACACCTCAATGCAAAGTAGAAGAGTGCTTGAATCTCAATTGGATAACCATACATCCCCTATCCAAAAATCAAGCAAATGCATGAAATTTGGTTCTCTTAATTATAAGGTATCCTTAGACTAGTTGGGAAAACTATGAATGCAAGTGACAATGCCAAACCACAGAAAATTAGATATCAAGTAATTTTCTTCAAAATCACTAAGAGATCGAAGTGAAAAACATGCGAGTTATGGCATTCTAACTTCTCTAGCAGGCAAACTATATTGCCACATAAACAACTCCTGTACTGAACCAAGATTTTACCACAAGAATGTGTCTATTAGTACATATCATTTCAGCTAGTGAGGCCAATATTTAATAGGAGTTGGGAGAATCAACCGACCCAAAACTGATATGTAGTTTCAAGAATCCTACAAACAGAAAAGAAAAGACTCACCATCCTCCTGTCGATCATACTACACCCATCTGCACAGAGAAGTGTTGGGAATGTGTCAAACCCATCTGACAGGCAAAGATTGAGAATTAACTTTATTCCCGTCTGCACCTCAGGAAGTTCTGCCAGTGAGTGATCACGAGTGCATTTGGTGTATGATCTCAGCAAAATGATCCACCAGAACCCAGAATCAATAGGCGCAACTCTTCCAATTGCGCTGCCACCAAAATCCGCAACTAGAGTTTCATTCTTACGATGTTGATCAAAGAGAACCTTAAAACTTGCCGGCAGAACACCTTCTCCAAGTGTAAAATTATCGATCCTCTTTTCCCAGCTTTGGAGGTGGAGGGTCTTGAGGAGAAAATTCTTTACAACATCTCGTTGATCTGGTTCTTTTTTCATCAGGCAGGCCAAACCACTAGGAACAAAATCTCTCACAAACACCTGCAGTTACATATCATTACTTGATTGGGATCATTCTTAATGCCTATTTCCTACCAATTCAAACAATATAAACAAAATAAATTGAATTTACCAATTCTCTTTCCCATATTTGTAGTATTCTGAATACTGGCATCCATCAGGTGAACACTAATAAGCTAGCTAATTAGTGCCACAAGTTATCAAATACAATGAAGAATAATACTTGCATTCCCCATTTTCAATGCCTAAATTTCCGATTTAGAGACACACAAACACTTGCAAATACTCCGTCTTCAATACCTAAACTTCGGAATTATAGACTAATTAATCAAGAAGCACTAATCCACAATTAGATGCACTAATAAACAGATAATCAAGAAGCATCAATCAGCAACTAATCAACAGTTGATCAAGAAGCACTAATCCACAATTAGATGCACTAATAAACAGATAATCAAGAAGCATCGATCAGCAACTAATCAACAGTTGATCAAGAAGCACTAATCAGCAATTAATCAAGAAGCACTAATCAACAATTAAGTTATTAACAAGAAACATTCGGTATACCTGATTGTAATTCAAAGTCTCAGCCGTTGGATCCATAGCTGCAAGAGTACCCACTGGCTTGCCTTTGAAGTATACGTACGACTTCTTGAGTCTCTCCCAAGCCTCCTCCACCATCGCTGGGCTCCCTGCCGATTTCGTCTTTGGCGAACCTTCCTTCCAAGGATCCAAGTTCTCAATAAGGCTCGCTCCCACACTTGGAGACGGCAACAGCACCCCTGGCTTCGCCGCGCTCACACTCACTGGAACGTCGTCATTTCGCTGGAAGTTTGTCGTCTTCTTCGCCGGCGGTCTCTCGCACTCTTCCTTCCGCTTTGGCACCTCGCCAGCATCCAAAGATTCCGTAAACTTCTCCGAGCTCGACTTCTCTGTCGGACTCGAATCAGAGGTTATTGCACTTTCTTCTACCGACCTTTTAGACTCAGCATTCCAATTCGCAATCATTTGGTGAATATGATCGTAATCCAAAGCATCTGTCGATTTCAAACTCGATGTCACGCCTTCATTCGTCAAAGAATTGGAATCTTTCTCCAACGGCCTTGCCTCAGGCTCTTCTTCATCGTTCGGAGAGCATGGAATCCTTTCCGGCGAGATGACATCATCGGAAGATTTCTCGACCGTCGCCGGCACTGGAGGCGGAGCAGCCTCCTCTTCTTTTGTTTCGGTGAGGAGATCATTGAGCGTTTTTGCCATTTCCTACGAGAAAGCGGATAAAATCGATACAGAGCTGTAAAATTAGTGAAGAAAATCGAAAATGCAGAAGAAGATTCTAGAGTGAGAAAGCTAAATCTTGAGAGAGAGAGAGAGAGAGAGAGACCTGAAGTTATATCTCGCAGCGCAGAGAGAGGGAGAGAGAGAGTGTAAGTGTGTGTCCGTACAGAAGTTAGAGAGAGAGAGAGAGGTATATAAAGGGCGCGATTCTGGGTGGGGGAGTCCGAGTCAGGGAGGACGGGAAAGCATGGGTTCGTTTTGGCTGTTAGAAATGGAATTGAAGCAACAAGTCTGAGGAATTTCGTTTGGGCGGCGTTGGAAATATCTTCATTTCGTTGGGGGCATTTCCGGAACTCAATGTCAATGACCGTTCGTCTGCGCGGGAAGGGAAGTGCTCATTATATGGAAACGACACCGCATAAGGCACGAATGAATCAGTGATTCATACTAAAATCGAACCAAGAATCTCAAATTGCGATTTAAACTTGGGTCAATTTTACGAATACTCTCAAAGTTAATTTGGCCCATAAATTATGTCCTCTTGTCTCGTTTTACTCACAGCATCAACTCCGTAAAATAATCATACAATAAATATCTTAGTCGTTTATTTAAATAATCTTTATTGATGGTGATCTAACAAAAGATTAACAATCTGTTTTCGGTATCCAACTCCAAATGCCCACCCCTACCTCCAACCAAAAACATATTGGCATTCAAATAAACAAACAAAAAAATATGCAAGTCTAATGAGTTTAACATGATAAAAGCAGCTTCACTCCCCCATAATTTAGGGTAATGTAATTCTCTAACTACTAGCAAAAGATTTGGGAAAGAAGAAATACTATAAACATTGAACAAATAATTAACAAGCTAGATACCAAATGAATAGCAAGTGGGATTGTGGGTTGCAAGTTTGCAATACCATTAAACCACTCAAGCTCTTCAATTTTCTTTTACAAGTTGCATTACCAACAAGGTTTAGGTGGTAAAGGCTCTTTGGTATTCAGCCTATTTCTTATACTTTGGAATATTTGAAATTGCAAAAATCATCAGGGCACAGTGAGTTAAAAAAAATGCAAAACTTCCGCTAAAATGAGGATTAATTACACTAAGATTCTCTAATATTTATTGAGTTTTAACAAAATTCTTCTCACATTTGAGACATTACACTATGACCCCTTTGATTTTAATTCACTTTCAAATAACCCTTTAGTCAAAATTCTAATAATAAATATAAAACTCTAGCCTTAGTAATTACTTGAAATTAATAACAAAAGATTTATAATTATATATAAAAAATTATGAAACATTAAACACTAAAAAAATGACAAGACAAGACAACACGTCGCAACATCAACCCGAGGGTTTTGATGTTGTAATTTTGGTTCTACTTTTGATTCCTTTAGGCCATCCCAAGACGATGAAGCTATGAGTTGTTGTCTTAATTTTTCATTTGAGTGGATACAAAGCCAAATATCTTATTCTCAATTGTTCATAGAAATCCACACTACGGTGCATAAACATGATTGTTTTCCGCCGCTAGTGTCACAGCCCGTCCCGAGATTCTATATATCGAGGTTGTGAAATGACAAAATTACCCTTGACGGTTACTAAGGTATGTGTGTGACATGTTATTGATTATGCATATTTCTTAAGTTTTGGAAAATTTAATTGGATTAAAGGTTATATGTATTTTTGTGGTTAGGGAGTTAAGAAAAATGGATGGTGATGGTTTTGGGATGGACCACACACACATACACATGAGTCAAACCTCTATCTTTCCTTCCCCGTGCTCTCTCTCTCTTCTCTTCTCAGTTCACTCTTTCCCTCTTGAAAACGTAAGGACGAGACCAAATTCCCTCTAAACATCGCGGATCGATGCCAAAAAGGTAAGGTTCTTCATCCTTTCGACCTCCTGAGTCGTTTGGTACTAGTTTTAGAACGAGAAACCTTAGAAATCACGTTGAAAACCCAAGGTCTGATTTGAGTACTGTTCATGCATTCGTGATGTGTTGATTTTTAGGGAATTCTAAGCTTATAGTGAGCTTAGTGAGGTCTTAAGGAAGCTCGGAGTGCTTAGTTTGAAGGTTTTGGACGTCGGGATCGTTGAGTTCGAAGTTGGCCGGTTTTCTTGGAATTTCTCCGGTGAGATTTCGTAGTTTTAGAGCCTTAAAGTAGTGTAACGTGAATCTACATGCTTAGGGCTTGATTTTGATATAAAATGCGTGAAAAATGGTTGAGAAATGACGGAGAACAAGGAGATTGAAAAATCTTCAGTTTTCCGGCGACCGGCGAACCAGTCCGGCGACTGGAGGTTAGGGGTGATGCGCGTGGGGGCGCATGGACCCGTGCCCATCCCGGCGCGTGGGGGCGCGTGCGGCCTCAGAAATTTTTTCTGAAAATATGTCGATGTCCGTGACGTCGAGTAGGTCATTGTGGTATATTCATATACCCAAATTGAGCACCGTATAAGAAGTTATTACGAATTGTCGGTTATGTGCTTTAAATAACGTTTTTTTAGTTGTTTCGCATATAGGTGATACCTATCCCGAGGACGAGCGCATCCAGGGACATCACGGGGGTTACAACCCTTCGACTTATCAGTGAGTGGGCAGTTATTTTCTGTTATTACCTATATACTATTGATTTTCCCATAAATTGAATTTAAATGAAAGTATGTTTTCAAATGCCATACATGCATATTATGAATTATATGAATTAGTAATTGATGCATATATATATGAATTGGTGTTGTGGACGCATAGGTGAGTATCAGGTGAGTTTTATGTTATTTATGTGAATCATTGATGCTGTGAATTATGTTGAGAGCTCATAACCTGCACCCCTGGTGTTAGTGCTTATAGTATTCACCGCACCGCACACTCACCTTGGATCCAGGTAGGTGCATGTCGTACAGACCATGAGAAGGTTCCGACATGCTAGTCGTACAAATCACTAGAGGTGGTTCCGACTGGTAGGTGACCTTAGATTATGTGCATAGATGATTGATGAGAAAAGCACTAGAGCATATTATTACACAATTCTTGTTGTACAGACTACTTCAGGTAGTTCTGACTTATGTGTAGAGTAGTGCCGTACAGGTCACCGTGGTGACTCCGGTTGGTTTGGATATTGAGATATGGAATTAACCGTACATGATCAACTGCAGGGTCTCCGGTTGATTCATTATGTCACCTGTTATATTGATGCATTCATAATCTGTTATTGACATTTATGGCATGACATATTTTCTGGAATTGATAACGATTCGTGATTTGAGTTATATGAAGAGTTACATGCATATTATGTTAATTTCTGGGAAAATATACAGGTTTTACATTGAGGGGTTAGAATTGTTTTTGATGAAATGTTTTCGAAAAGCTTTGATTTTACTGACCCACTCAATTTTGTTTTGCGCCCCTCCAGGTTCTAGTTAGCAGCGTTGGTGGCCCATGAGGATCCCCACGGCGTACTGATAGACTACATAAATGTACGACCCACCTGCGGGTGTTGTAATTTAGTTATAGCCCTACTTGACTGCACCTAGTTATTATGCTCTGAAATTGTGTGTTTCGCACTTAAACTTACTCTAGCACGTTACTTGGTTATTATTGCTGGTATTTGGTTTTTGTTTATTCGTATTTCTCTTATCTTTTACTTCTGCGTCGCACTTTTGGTTACATCACACTCACGTGACGGCCAGCACGCCTTGATTCTAGGATCGGGGTGTGTCAGCTGGAGTGTCTTATGTTTCAATTATTATTTTTGTAGAAAGTAACTATCTGAAGTATATATTCAATTCATAAAAATAGAAATAAAAACTTAAATTACTCTTATACACAACAATATTAATCTAAAATCACTCTTGTTTATAATTTTTTTATGGAAGTCATAACTTAGATTAGTTTTGATATGTATAATTTTTTAATTTGGTATTATTGAGCAGTCCAGAAAATCGACGGATATAGGAATCTACTTGATCTTTGTAATGTTTGGATCTCAAATAAAATGCGTACCATTGAAGGCCATTTTGGGAAACCTGTACTTAAAAAATAAATAAAAAAACTGTTTATGTTGTGCTTTTAAAATAATCAATTGTAAAATAAAGGAATTGATAAACTGTATTTTTAAAAGTGTTGTGAGAATAAAAAATAATGCAAAAACGTTTGATAAACTTTAATGTAAAAGTAATATAATTGTATATAATTGTATATAATTACAAAAACGAACATAATAATGATGGGTGGTGGCAACAACGGTGGCAAGGCTAGTGTTGGGCTATGGCTACTACAATGGTGGGGGTATGATGTTTGCGCCAATAATAGGGTATGGTGTTTGGGTTGTAAAGGTAGCAATGGTGTTAAAGTCAATGGCAGAGGCAACAACGGTGTTTGTGGTGGCAGTTGTGGTTGTGGTTGTAGATTATGGCCTTAACAATGCTAATGATGGTGGTGGTAATGGTCGTGGTGGCAGTTGTGGTGGCGGTGGTGCGATGGCGGTGATAGCAATTGTGATGATTATAGTGGGACGACAGTGGTGACAACAAGGATGGTGATAATGGCGGTAATGATTTAAGGTTAATGGTTGTAGTGGTAGGTGGTGGCGGTCATTTGTTCTCTAATGGAGAGAATGTGAATAGAAGGATAAATAATATAAATTTTTTAGGGTATATAACAATTAAAAATATTCATTAAACGTCCAATTTTGTTTGTTTTATAAAAACAACTTATAAGAGCTGTCGTCTGGAGGATATTACTTTAAAATAAAAGAAAACTAATGAAAATTGCTTCAAATCTTTACATTTTAATAATAAAAAACTACATACTAACTTTATTTAATGACAATGACAAAAGAATTTAAAAAAAAAAAACCAACTTGCGCTGGGGTGCGTACTACCCCTTCCCTTTCACACTCTACTTTGTTCTCCCACCTTTTCCCCCCATTAATAGATTTTTTTTTTGTTTGCTTAGAATAAGAAAAATACTTCAAATTGAATTACATTCTCCAGTTTTATTTTTGTGGTGTCGTTTCCCAATAGTAATTATGATGATGAGAAACTTTTCAATGTGTCTGGAAATTAGGGTGGTATACTCTATACAAGTTATGAGATTCTTGTGTTAAAAAATTAATAACATAAAAAATAAAAAATTTCATCACTTACATAATAATACGTGGTATACCATTTGTGTTACGAGCACAAGGAAACATTTATCCAATATGACACCCAAGCTTAAGAAATTGGATGGAGAGTTACATTTATTATTGTAGGTATGTAAAAAATATGATGAAATTTTAATTTGGTAATTGAAAATAGATTTTTAAATATAATTACTGAGAACATAATATTCTCAAGGTTTTGGTCCACATAATCACTTATGGGTTCATTGTTTTTGGCGCAATGGGTGCTTTTACAGGACCAAAAATGATCTAAGTTTCAAACCTATGAAACTGAACAAAAAACTAAACACTATTTATAAAACTTCACCAATAAGTAACACTATTCATGAAACTAAACCAATAAGTAGATAATATTTATGAAACGAAAACAAGAATTAGACATTATTTCTAAAACTAAACCAAAATGTGAAAACTATTTATGAAACTGGAGTTAGAATTGACAATATTTATGAAACATGACAAAGAATTATGCAATATTTATGAAAGTGGACCAATAACTAGACACTATTTATGAAACTGGACTAAGAAAGAGATACTACTTATAAAACTGTACCAATTACTATACATTATTTATGAAACTGGATCCAATAACTAGGCACTATTTATAAAACATGACCAAAAACTAGATACTATTTATGAAAGTGGACAAAAGACTAGGCTCTATTTATGAAATTGGACCAATAAATAGTATAATACAATTTGGTTTCATAAATAGTGCAGTTTTATAAATAGTATTCAATTTCATAAATAGTGTTCAGTTGCATAAACAGTGCACATGTCCCGCGCATCAGGTTTTTTTTTCTTTTTTTAATTGTGTCATTTTCATTAAAATTTAATTCTTTTTCAATAAATAAAGTTATAGCATGATTTTTTATTAAAATAAATTTAGTTCCAATCCTTTTTAAGAAGTTCTTTTAAAAAATAAGTAAAGTATTTTATTTTGGAGTGTGATATTCACACACCTTATTTTACTTTTCACACACCCTTTTAATTTTCGACCGTCGGATCGAATGAACTAAAGAAAATTAAAGAATAAAAATTAGCAAAATGTGTGTAAGCAGTAAAATAGGATGTATGGATAACACACCCTTTTACTTTTATCAAACTTTTTAACTTTTTAACTTTAAAATTTAAACAGTAAAAACAATGTCAAACAAGGTGTGAATGAGACGTAACATTGTAACGGGATACTCCGGGCCACGTTGTGGGCCGATACTTACAAAACAGCAGAAACCAGCCAGCTCCAGCCTTCTCTAACTCTCTATCTCTCATCTCTCTCTCTCTTCCAGTCAGCAGAGCAGAGGAACATTCAGACGAAGCAAAGCATAGAAAGACAGCGCAGAAGGAAGTGAAAAATAAAAAATAAAAAAAAAATTTGCTGCAATGGATTTCGTATCTCTGTTGGTCCCCTTTTTTGTTTTAAAGCTGATCATCAAATTAAAGCACTCCAACCCCAATTCCTCCATCATTAGGCGTCTCTTCCAAGCAACCCTCCATCCCCACCCCCATTAACTCTCTCTCTCTCTCTCTCTTTACCCACCTACTCTCTCTCTCTCTCTCTCTCTCTCTCCTCTGCACACTGAACCAAATTCAAGTTTTTACCAGCCACTTATCAGTTCCCTACTTCTTGTAATACAGAAACAGAAACCCAATTCTTCATTTCAGTTGTGGGTATTTGAAATATATCAATTTTTAGCTTGAATTTATCGAATTTGATTCTGGGTACCTCAGCTTTTCAGCCATGCCAGGCTTAGTCTCACCCAAAAGCTCGCCTCTTGGAGCACCTTCGCCGCCAATTTTCGTACCCGACCCGGCCCGCAAAACAGAGCACTCCAATGGCGCCAAAACCCCATCGCCTTCGACCACTCGGGCCAGACCTGCCAAAAAACCAGCCTCAGAGAAGCTACCCATCGACGAGACCTCGCTCGACAACCCGGATCTGGGTCCCTTTTTGCTGAAGCTCGCCCGGGACACTATTGGGTCGGGTGAGAACCCGAATAAGGCCTTGGACTACGCCATTCGGGCATCCAAGTCATTCGAGCGCTGCTCCGGTCCTGGTCTTGACCTGGCTATGAGCTTGCACGTAGTGGCGGCGATATATTGTAATTTGGGCCGGTTTGAGGAGGCGGTTCGGATCTTGGAGAGGTCCATTGAGGTGTCGGATCTGGAAAATGGGTCGGATCATGCGCTGGCAAAGTTCTCGGGGTACATGCAGCTGGGTGACACGTATTCGATGCTGGGACAGCTTGAGCAGTCTATTTTATGTTACGGGTCGGGTTTGAAGATCCAAAAGGAGACTCTGGGTGAGTCGGATCCGAGAGTTGCAGAAACTTGCAGGTAAAGTAAAGCTCATCTCTTTATCTGTTTGTTCAGCTCTACAGGCTCATTTTAGCTAGTGATGCTGTAAAAATGCTACATTGCGCCATATGACTGCTTCGGTTAGTCTGCTCGCGCTAGATAGCGACTCACAGCGGTTGATACATGTAGCCATGTGTGAACAACTCTCAACCGTTGATACACGCATCAACGTTTGGAGTTCGGCTATTGTTAACAATTGATTAATATTGTAGGATGTCGCATGAATCAACGGTTATCAACCACTTACGTTGCGTTAAAACTTATCGATGTGGGCAAAAATTTGATTGTGTTATTTGTTTTGATAGGCTTATCCTCTTAGAACTTGCTGATGCAATGTAATTTCTTCACAATTGCCTGTCCTATGTTTTCCTATTATCCTTAGAAAAACAAAAAAATAATAATTGGAATTTAAGCACCGTAAAAATGTGCTGGAAACACAAACATAAGACATTGGAAATGGCAGGTACCTAGCAGAAGCCCATGTCCAAGTAATGCAATTCGACGAGGCGGAGAACTACTGTAAGAAGACGCTTGAAATCCGCAGGAAGCACAACTCGCCAGCGTCTGTTGAAGAGGCTGCTGACCGGCGTCTCTTGGCTCTCATTTATGAGGCAAAGGGAGATTACGAATCTGCACTTGAGCACCTTGTCCTTGCAAGCATGATAATGATTGCCAATGGACAGGACAATGAGGTTGCCGCTATTGACATGGGCATTGGCGATATTTACTTGTCTCTTTGCCGCTTTGATGAGGCTGTTTTCTCCTACCAGAAAGCACTTACTGTCTTGAAATCCATGAGGGGCGAGAATCACCCTTCAGTAGCATCCGTCTTTATTCGCCTTGCTGACCTGTATTACAAGACGGGTAAGTTAAGAGAGTCTAAATCCTACTGTGAGAATGCTTTGAGGATATATGCAAAACCTTTGCCTGGAATCGTACCCGAGGAACTTGCTAGCGGGTTGACTGAAATCGCAGCCATCTATGAAGCTGTCAATGAGCCGGAGGAGGCACTGAATCTCTTGCAGAAGGCGATGAAGTTATTAGATGATACACCTGCACAGAGGAGCTCTATCGCAGGAATAGAAGCACAGATGGGCGTTATGTTCTACATGGTCAGGAGGTACAGGGACGCTTGGACGTCTTTTGAGAGTGCTATATCAAAGCTTAGGGCCGGCGGGGAGAGGAAATCTGCCTATTTTGGTGTTGTGTTGAACCAGATGGGATTGGCTGGTGTGCAGTTGTACAAATTAGACGAGGCTGCTCAACTTTTTGAAGAAGCAAAGGAGATACTTGAGCAGGAGTGTGGCCTTTGTCACGCCGATACTCTTGGAGTGTATAGTAATCTTGCAGCCACATATGATGCCATGGGAAGGTAACTCATCTTTGACACATAAGCTACAAGGATTTCTTAAATTCTGTAAATAGTTTGTTTTCGCTGCTATTAGAATCTACACAGAAGCACTTAGGCGGCAGAAGTCTATGCCCCATCGTTTATGATCACTTTTGTTTTGTTTTGTTTTATGCTGAATTATTGTTTATCAAAAAATACTTTTGTTTGCAGTGAGCTTAGATGTATAAGATATAGTGGAAGTATAGATAGTGAACAATTAAGCTTGTAGCCTTGATGCGGTCTAATACGGGAGGTCTGTCAAAAGTCACTTTAGTAAGGAGTCCTCACATTTGCTTGAAGTCGTAATTAGTTGCTACTCCCTGGTACTCATGATGATCGTTCCTCTATTCTTTTGATCTTCCGTGGGTAATTGTCAGGCGGCTGATGTAAAGTAAAAGGTTGAAGGCTTGTATCAGAAAGTAGAGATGCTTGTCCATTTTGGAATCAATTACAATTTATAGTTTTGAGATCATAGAAAATTTTGCGTGTTTGCAGAATTGCTGAAATGCCGAGCGTCCTATTAGGTTTTTTTTTATTATCCAGTCGTAAAACTTGTATAGGGATTTTACCATGATGTTTGAGTTCTGCAGCAAGTTCAGTTCGTCCTTTGAACATGAAATTCTGTTATTTATTACAGAGTAGAAGCTGCAATTGAGATGTTGGAGCACGTCTTAAAGGTGAGGGAAGAGCAGCTTGGGACGGCAAATCCAGATTTTGACGACGAGAAGAAAAGGCTAGCTGATCTTTTGAAAGAAGCAGGAAGGGCAAGGAACAGAAAAGGAAAATCACTCGAAAATCTCCTCGAACCCAACTCCCAAAAGACGAAGAAGGAAGGATCGAAGAGGCGGTCTGGATTTGGATACAAAACCTGACGGAGAGACGCCTCTCTCCCCGGCTCTTCTTTCCCTTGCTGCAAATTTTGTACATATCATGTTTAAGCTATTGAACTTCCACTTGGTTTCACTTCCTGTATTTCTTTTACTCTCGTTCACTTTATTCCTGGATGCTTCTCTTGTGAAATTTAAGTCGTGTTTGGACCTTTGTTGTACTGTTTTTTTTTTCTCCTATCTGATTCCTTGCTTACTATCAAGGTTGTGTTGGCCACTGTGTAAGTTACCACTGCTCCCGAGAAAGACTCGTCTGTCATCCGGGATATAACCCACGTGATGAGTGTTATAGGAATGTGCAAAGAAGGCCTACTGACGCTCCGATTAGAAGATGCGACTATGGGACAGAGGTTCAGGGCCGAAGGGGTAGAGGAAGACCTAGGAAAACTTTGGAAGAGACTCTAAGAAAAGACTTAGAGTACTTGGATCTAACGAATGACATGACACAGGACCGAGCACAATGGCGTTCTAAGATTCATGTAGCCGATCCCACTCAGTGACTTGGATTTTCCAAGTCTCCAACCGAGAAGTTTTCCTCACTCAGGAAATTAAGGGAACACTACCTCAACCTACATGCTCCACTCACAAAGCTCCAACAAAAGAAAATTCAAAGAACTTAGCGAAGAAGGCTTTGGTGTATTTAACACAATACGTTGAAATGAAGGAAAACTTATTTATTGATATCCCCGATAAGCTACAAATATGTACATATACATGAGTCAAAATAAACAAACAAGAGAGAGCCTTCACAAAGGTTGCCTAGGAGAAGTCGCAGCAGTCGGTAGAGCCCCAGAAAGAGAAGGCACCGGAGGGGGATCATTCGGAGCCTCAGTACTGGACAGAACCCTAGAAGGAGGAGGCATCAGAGGTTGATCATTTGGAGCTTCATTACGCGGTACAGCCCCAGAAGACGAAGGCAATAAATGCCTTTGGAACAAACCCACAAATCTCTGATGATCAAGTAAAACCTGACCATCAGATTCCTTCATCTGGTCCAGCTTCCTCTTCATGTTTGTAGCATAGTCATGTGCGAGACGGTGCTGCAACTGTTTATTCTCATGCTTGAGCCCTCTAATCTCCTGTTTGAGACTCATCACTTCAGCCGCCAATGATTCAACTTGGCGGGTTCGAGCAAATAGGCGTTGGGCCATATTAGACACAGAACCTGCACACTGAACACTGAGAGCCAGAGAATCCTTAACAGCTAACTCATCAGATCGTTTGGAAAGTAGTCTGTTATCTTTGGGAGTGAGAAGGTTCCTGGCCACCACCGCAGCGGTCATATCATTCTTCATAACGGAATCCCCAACGGTAAGAGGACCAGTAGGGGAGACGAAGGATGGGCGCCATATGTTGTCTGGAGAAGGCGGGGCTGCCTCTTCAACAAGGTTCAAGTCAAAACGACGGTCGGAGGGGCCAGACATTTTCAAAGGTGTTGAAGAGAGAAGAGGTCGAACAAATCAAGATCTTAGAAGTGTAAGAATGGAGCTTCTACTGGTGGAGATTTCAAGTGTGCTTTGGAACTTAATGCCAGCCCCTATAAAAATCTGCACTCGACGGAGCTTCAGAAATCGAAGAGGCGCCTGCTCAGAAATCGAAGAGGCGTTTGCTTTCTCAAAAGCTGGGCTGCTCAGAGACCACGAGGGTCGATCTCAGAAATCGAAGAGGCGTCTGCTTTCTCAAAAGTTGGGCTGCTCAAAGACCACGAAGGCCGATCTCAGAAATCGAAGAGCCGCTTGCTTTCTCAAAAGTTGGGCTGCTCAGAGACCACGAGGGCCGATCTCAGAAATCGAAGAGGCACCTACTTTTCCAGCCTTGGCAGCACCTGTCACACGCACACTCAGCTTTGCGGAAATTATGGGCATTCTGTCGAAGACTTCTGGTGAAGTAGAAAGCACATGAGTCTTACTGTTCAATCACCCACTTCCCACACGCAATAGTAGCTCATGTGTATCACAGATAACTTTGCCAAAGTTCTCTGCCAAAGTTGAGCACGTGAAGCTTGCAGCTTCCACTACATCGCTCTGACCAAGACGGGTAAAAGAATAGCAAAGAAACAGCACTAACAAAGTTTAGACACATAAATTTTGAAGGTCTAGCTACCCCATATTATTACCCACAAGGGTAAATGAACAGTATCACTGCTGGATAATTGGAAAGTCCCTGTGTGTCAACCTCTGTGCTTCGTGGCAAGGTAGACTAGCAAACAGGCCCAACCTTTACTCACATTCGAGAAAACACTCCCAACAAGATTGCTTGCTCCAAAATCGAAGAGGCACCGTCCTCCGAATCTCGAGAGCCAGACTCCCAACATGACTACTTTCTCAAAAATCGAAGAGAGGGTAAAGGAACAGTACCATTGCTGGATAATTGGAAAGTCCCTGTGTGTCAACCTCTGTGCTTCGTGGCAAGGTAGACTAGTAAACATGCCCAACCTTTACTCACATTCGAGAAAACACTCCCAACAAGATTGCTTGCTCCAAAATCGAAGAGGCACCGCCCTCCGAATCTCGAGAGCCAGACTCCCAACATGATTACTTTCTCAAAAATCGAAGAGACACCGCTCTCCGAATCTCGAGAGCCAGACCCTCAGCATGATTGCTTTCTCAAAAATCGAAGAGACATCGTTCTCCGAATCTCGAGAGCCAGATCCCTGATAGGATTGCTTGTTCGAAAACCGAAGAGGCAACACTTTCCCAACCACAAGAGCCGGATCTCCTTGGATAAAGCTGTCTGTAATCTTCACACGCAACATCAGCTTTCCACATACCACAGACCACTTTTTCAAAGTGCTCTGACAGGGTAAAGGAATAGCATTACTACTTGTTGTTAAAGAGACTCCTATATATGTCAACCTCTATCCCCAACGGACAGACAGACCTGCAAAAATGCTCAACCCTTCCTCATATATGAGAGGGCACTCTCAACGAAGCCTTTCGAAATATTCAGCTTTCTTTCCCCCCGATAATACCTCTGCAAACAAGTTATACTAGAGCAAGAATATCTCATATCATCAGGGTTAAAAGCAAGAGTATCCCATATCATGCTTTTTCCCTGTCTTTTCCTTTGGCCTTGTTCTTACCTGCAAGACAAGGAGAAAGAGAGCAATCAGTCAGCACTTGGAATCAAGCTTCCAGCCAGGAACTGACTGCCTGGAACTTACTTACCTGGCATTGCTCTCGAGTACTCATCTTCAACATCTTATGCTTCCAGGGAAGATACCACATCTGCCTGAGGAACAGATAGGGCAAGTGAGAAGGATACAAGGAAGCATGTGGAGACAAGCGTAACAGCACACGTGCCGATACATCCATTACTCTGTCAAAGCAAAAGTATCCCATATCAGTAGGGTCGAACGTACTCTAGATTTGATGGACTTGTTTTGACCCTCAAATTCTTCAGTCGGCCTTATACTCTGGAGGAAACCAGAAAACCCTCCAGCTCAGTTCAAGAATAAGCCTGTGGAAAGTTACTTCTTCAAAAGCAAAAGTATCCCATATCATCGCTTCTCATTTTTCTTCTCTTTATCCTTCATGCTGCCTGCAAGATAGGGAGAATGTGAACAATCAGCCGGAGCTCTGATTGCTTACCTTGTCTGTCACCTCTTTCAGCAAATCCCCTAGCTCGGCAACTTGAGGGACTCCTACTACATGGTTTGTATCGCGCTTGACCAAGCCTGAAACTACAAGTAAGCTTCAAGTGAAATTGATACATTACCTTGTGCATCTCCACCAGTTAAAGATACCACCCCTGGATGGAGGAAGAGTACTTCCAGAGAAGATGCCACATCTACCTATGAGACAGATAAGGCACTGACGATACCACATTCCGATACTTAGAAGTTTCGTGATTACGAGATCATTCTCCCACAATATTTCCTAATGTCATTTGTACTAAATCATTCACCTGTACTCACTAAATGAAAGCTTGAACCTATGTACTTGTGTAAACCCTTCACAATTAATGAGAACTCCTCTATTCCGTGGACGTAGCCAATCTGGGTGAACCACGTACATCTTGTGTTTGCTTTCCTATCTATATCCATTTATATACTTATCCACACTAATGATCAGAGCAATCTAGCGAAGATCACAAAAAGCGACCATTTTCGCTACCTAGGATATATCGTGCAAGAGAACGGAGAATTAGAGAGAGATCTCAACCATAGAATAGAAGTTGGATAGATGAAGTGTAAGAGTGCATCCGGCGGGTTGTGTGACCGTCGTAGGCCACTGAAGCTCAAGGGAAAATTTTATAGGACGGCAATAAGGCCAGCGATGTTGTATGGCACATAATGTTGGGCGGTGAAGCATCAACACGTACACAAAATGGGTGTGGCGGAGACGAGGATGCTTCGTGGGATGTGTGGGCACACAAGAAATGATAAGATTGGAAATGAGGATATTTCGAGGTAAAGTAGGAGTGGCCGAAATTGAAGGAAAGATGAGAGAAAATCGGTTCCGGTAATTTGGACATGTGCAAAGAAGGCCTACTGACGCTCCGGTTCGAAGATGTGACTACGAGACAGAGGTTCAGGGCCAAAGGGGTAGAGGAAGACCTAGGAAAACTTTGGAAGAGACTCTAAGAAAAGACTTAGAGTACTTGGTTCTAACGGAGGACATGACACAAAACCGAGCGCAATGGCGTTCTAGGATTCATATAGCCGACCCCACTTAGTGGGAAAAGGCTTTGTTGTTGTTGTTGTTGTTGTTTGATGAGTGTTATAGGAATACAGATATATCTCGGTTGTATGCAAGAGGCTCTTGACGATGTGGGGTTCGCTTCTAGGAGACTACCAACCAAACTAATGGACTAATAGCAGTCTAACTGCAGTCCAAAAACCTCAAATGGAAGTCATACAAGCCACCAAAAACACATGGAGATTGAGTCTTATAGTTGCTAAACTTACCTATATTTCAAATTCATAATATGACATTTGAAATCCTTAGTGTACACAAAAATAAAGCTCATATAAAGTTCTAAAGTTTAGGGTTAACGGGAGCTGACCAGTGCCTGAAGTTCGAACATATTGCCTTATCGGATTGAAAATCTTGATCCATATACTTATTTTTGGTCAATTAGTCAATATCCAAATAAATCCATTAAATCGAATCTTGGGAAGAAAAAAAAATCAATATAAAATGAAACTCAAAC